TAAATATTTTCCTTTTCTGTCTGTGTGATTTCTGTAGATGCAATCGCCGATGTATACGAAGTCGAAGTGGACGAATCAGCGGCTACAAAATGTGGTTGAAAATATTTTTGGACCATATCTGGTTGATCTTCATATACAGAAAATGATTGAAACTGTTCCACTACGGTTTTCTTGACCGCTGCCGCCGCTGCAGCGAATATTGCAGTATTCTCATTGTGTGTGTTTGCATTTCCAACTTCTCGAAACGCCTAGATTAAATAACAAAAATATTTTATGAAGAATGAACTAAAACCGGAATTCAAGTAAAAATTTAATAAATTCCACACTATTTTTTAAATGGGTGAATATCAAAATATGTCCCACGCCTTAAATAAAAGATTTCAACGCATTATATGCTTGTTGGGTAATCTTTTATGTAGGTATTTATCTTGTTTTTAGTGCTTATAATGGAAACCCGTTATTAGTGTGTAGATCTCTAAAGTCCTGTTACAGAAAGGTTTAGTATTATTGTAATAAACTGATACTGCTAGAATAGACTCTATTTTCTGAACTTTAACCTTTGCATTTTTTGGCAACTGTGAGGGAACTTTTTAATTATTGAATAATGAATCTGCATTACCTCAAAATAAAAACAAAATATATTCCGTCGCGCCTGCGCACTTTTTTTTTAATATTTTCCTTTAAATAGGAAACCAAATACATAGGTACTTACCACTTTGCTACCCGCCATACCTCCAGCTGTGTTGCGTCCATGTCCGTTGTTTGTATTTGCGTTTAGCACAGCCAAGTTGCTGCGGCCTGCACCATCAGCTTGCTTTCCTTTTATAGGACCAGCGGCTGCTCCGAGAATAGAAGGCTGTAAGGCATTCACTCTGTTGCTGCCAGTGGCCAAGGTTTTCTCCTTTAATGCTGCAGGCATATGTGGATTTTCCTTCTCGGCATCTTGATGAATATGGAAAGTGGCCATTGCGCAATGTTCCTTTTCTCTCTTTTACTCTTATTGGCCGATCCGATATCTCAAAGTTTCTTTTTTCGCTTCGCGTTTTACGAAGTCTCGTACACTAGCAGATTAATTTAACACGGTTCCACAAAATTAATTGGCCGCTTATCACTTAACTTCCTAAAATTTCTATAAAAAATAGACAGCGCTGTATGTTTATAATTGAAGTTTTTTTCTGATCTTGACTTTTTCAAGTCTGTTTTATTGACTTTAAACTCCTAGCCCGCCACTTTGGAAATGCAGCTGCTGGATATTTACTACGGGTAAGCGGTGGCTTATTATTTAAGTTTAACTTGCGGTGCACCTCTTTGCGACCGACCAATAT